ATATAATACTTTTGGGGTACTTTTGGGTTTCAACTTGTTATGTACTAAAAGGGGGGAGCCCGGGAATAGGTTATGACAGCCTTTCCCAGCTTGGGTACCTGCCTGGTAAAACTACAACTCCCAGGGCCCCATAGCATTGAGCCATAGCCATGAAAGTGGTGTCAAACTGTGTAGATGTTCATGTTGACAATACCTGGTTGCTATCTGTATCAGTAACAATAGATGGGTGGTATTATTATAATTATTATTGGGTGTCAGTAATAATCTGAAGGGGAGATTGTTTACCAGAATGAGATAATATGAAAACATTGAAAAGGGAAATGAGACTCTGATGGGAACAATGTGCAGCATTTTTAGCCTCCTTAACTTTCTGGGCATTGATTCTCCCAGTGAACTTTGAGCCCAACCAAATTGAGAAAACAAATTGAGAGACCTTTAGACCTTTTCACTGACACTTATTGGTGCCTGACCTTCCCAGGAAAGACCCTACATTTTCAAGGGATCATAAAAAGAGAAGGAAAACGATGCAGATTTTAATTGTGTCTCTAAAGATAAGAATGTAATACACAAATCCACACAGTGGGCAAAGGTACTGCAATAACTATCTCCCAATGAAAAGAGGAGGAGGTTGTTGTTTGGGAATTACTAATGTCATACAGACAATTGCTCTAGTTGTTACAGTAAAAATGTAACTAGGTTTGCCACCGGCTGTTGAGCTCTTCCTAGCCCCTAAATAGAAATCTACTTTATACACTGAAATCCTATAGGCATTACTTCAGAAACTGGGGTTTAGTAAGATTTTGAGCAAACAAGATTTTGATTGCCAACTTCTATACCCACTGATTTGCGCATAATATGAAAAAAAGTGAATAGTGGTTTTCTGATGGAGATTCCTGGTTTAAAGTTAGTGGTTTTCAGATTATCATTGAATCACATAGAATCACAGAGTTGGAAGAGGCCACATGGGTCATCATCTAGTCCAAATCCCCTGCCATGCAGGAAAAGCACAATCAAACCACACTGGCAGATAGCCATTCAGCCTCTGTTTAAAAGCCTCCAAATAAGGAGTTTCCACACACACATACACACCTCCAAGAAAGTGAATTGCACTATTGAGCAGCTCTTACTTTAAACCAGGATGGAGATTCCTGGTTTAAAGTTAGGAAATTTGCTTCTGTCTTCAGTGGCTGTTGTCATTATGGCAATGCAATTTTTGCTCAGTTCCTTGGCTACAAAGTTCTGAATCCCAAAGAACACTGGTTGCTGCAATAGTAAATGGATTACATTAATATATTAATAAAGATATAGATTTCTCTGTGTCCATTTTAGAATGAAAGACTCCTTTCATAGAATCATAGAGTTGGAAGAGACCTCATGGGCCATCCAGTCCAACCCTCTGCCAAGAAGCAGGAATATTGCATTCAAAGCGTGTGTGTATTTGTAGGTTTTGCTAAAAAAAATTAAATAAACATTAGAGTAATTGAGCATAAAATGGACTGTGCATATATATAATTGTGTACATATATTCTTTTAGCATAAAATGGATTATGTAGTCAATATTCTACATTGTGAGCGGAAGAAAGGGCAGCCTGCCTAAAGTTATAGGAAAATACATCTACACTGTAAAACGAATGCAGTTTAACACCTCTTTAACTGCCATGGCTCAAGTCTATCAAATCCTGGGGTTTGTAGTTTGATGGGGCACTATCACTCTTTGTAAAAGACAGCTCCCATTATTCCATAGCATTGAGCCATGGTAGTTTAAGTGGTGACAATTCTACAATATGGATGCAACCTGGGTTACAGCACAAAAAGATTCCCTGATTCCCATATAGCTCTAGTTCCCTACAAGGCAAGGATGTAGGCCCTGAATATCAGCTCTATTTGAACAGAGCAGAGTATCTCCTCCCATTTTATTTGCAATCCTAACCATATTTTCTTCAGAGTAAAGCTTTAAACTCAATTTACCTGTAGCCCAAAGGTGTGTTTCTAAAGGGCTACTCATCAAGTTCAATGGAATCACTCCTAAATCAATTAACTCTAATCCCTTAACTAATCTTACATAATTCAGTGTTTAATTTGGGTCTGAAGTGGGAGGTTGCTTGTTTTGTTTTCAGTTCCTTTTGTCTATTTTCCTCCTTTGGAGAAGGGAGAGGAAGGCAGGCTTGTTGACTGTGAATTCGGAGTGTGCTTCTTTAGAAACCATATCCTCTTTTGGTTGAGTCCCCTAATCTCTTCTTTACTGACTTAGAGGAGGAAGACTTGAATTGGTTTCTGATCCCTAACCTCTTTTCCAAAACACAATCCAATCAACATTTCCATTATAGCGCAGGGTTTGAAACTAAGGACCCTTTCACACAGCCCTGTATCAGGACTATCAGGACAAGAAATCCCACATTATCTGAGTGTGGAATCAGGGCCCTTCCCATATTATCTGAATGTGGACTCAAATAACCCAGTTAAAAGCAGATATTGTGGGGTTTTCTGCCTTGATATTCTGGGATATGGGACTGTGTGGAAGGGCCCTCAATCAGCCCTGGGTGGATGAACATTGCCATATAATGCAGTTCACAGCAAAACGCCACACTAAGGGTTCTTCCACACAGTCATATAACACAGAATATCAAGGCATAAAATCCCACAATATCTGCTTTGAACTTGGTTATCTGAGTCCACAATGTCATATATTCCAGTTCAAAGCAGATAATGTGGAATTTTTTTCAGCTGTGTGGAAGGGGCCACTCACACACACACCAACAGAAGGAAGGCAAATTGAAGCAGATCTTAGAAAATTTATTTTGTCATATTAAAACTCTCCAAATCCCCTGCTGACTGGGGATTCTGGAAACTGTAGTCTGAAAATTTTCCAAGCTCTGTTCCATCCCCTTTTGAGATGGTTTATTCTTTTGAAGATTTTACCTAGCCCTTTGATCAAACAATCTATGTTGACACAGACTCTGACAAAAACAAAAATACATCTACAGATCCAGGCCCTGAGTAAACACTCATTTATTCTTTTATAACATTAAATGTCAATATTTGGGTTTGATAAGAGTGTTGATCTTTTTCTCTCCTTCCTTCTCCCTTTGGTTAGCTCCGCAATTATTTTGCTTCATGTGTGTGTTGTCATTGGATTCTTCTGCTCCTCCATATATTTTCTTTTTCATCCAAGTTGCCAAACAGAAATACACTGTACCCTATCATACAGCAAATCTACATAGTAGGATTAATGCAGTTCGACACCAGTTGAAATACCATGACTCAATTATATGGAATCATGGGGCTTGTAGTTTGGGGAGGCACCAGCACTCCTTGACAGAGAAGGCTGAAGACTTTGTGAAGCTATAACTACAATGATTCCATAGCAATAGGCACTGGTTTAAATCCGGTCTAGAAGCACCCTATGTCACTGTCAAAGTAACTTTAGACTGGAGAGGGGGGTGTCCCCATTTATGTTCCTGATAGTGCCTATCTTTTGTGTCTGGGTGATATTTTCTTAGGACAAAGTTGGGTTGACTCTTCTCTGAAAACACCTGCACCATTGCAAAACAGATTATTATTCCACCCGCAATGTCTTGTTCCAAGATCCAGTTAAAGTGGGACCTCTAGGGCCTGGCTGCCTCTGAAGGGCCAAATATGTAATTCATCAGCATGCAGATACTAGATTTTGGGTGGAAGATTCTAGCTGCCAACTCCAGCAACATATACTCAATCCTATTTCCACAACAACAAAACAATGCTAAAAAGCATGTGGCTTTCATATCACACTGTCAGGATTTCTGAAGAAGCAGGCTGATATCCAGGAAATCTTGTTGTTGTTGTTATTGTTGTGTGCCCTTGAGTTATTTATGAATTTTCTGGGGCTGAGAATGTGTGACTTGCATGATGGATAAACTCAATCTAAAATAAGTATCTTAAAGGTGCTTTTAGGATATCTACCTACTTCCCTTCCCTAGCCCCTGGCTATCTCTTTTTAAAGTTGTCTTTAATTATAGTGTGCATGACTGACTCCAAAGAGCATACACTGTATTTAGTAGATTACTCAGAATTGCAGCAGCTTTCATTGCTAAGCGGGAGGGGTTGGGGGGGGGGGGTTGAGATGTGGGAAAGAGTTAATCTCTTGGGGCCCTTCCAGACAGGCCCTATATCCCAGGATATGATCCCAGGTTTTCTGTTTATCCCAGATTATCTGGCAGTGCAGACTCATATAATCCCGTTTAAAAAAAGAAAACTTGGGATCATGTCCTGGGATATAGGGCCTATCTGGAAGGGCCCCAAGAGATCAACTCTCTCCCACATCTCAACTCCTCCCTGCCCCCAGTGTTCAACTGTAGTTGAATTTTCAGCAATGAAAGCTGCTGCACTCCTGAGTAATCCACTAAATACAGTGCATGCTCCTTTGGAGTCAGACATGCACACTATAATCCTATTAAAGACAACTGTCTGGAAGGGCCCTCAGAAACCCTAAGTTAGGCCTAGAATAGGTAGACAATGCTGAATAATTGATTTGCATATTGAAATAGGTGCATGTACTGGGAAATTGTTGTTTCTATTCGATGTTTTGATGTTTTGTCTTATGTCTGTTGTAATAGGCTGTGTTTTTTATTTAATTTTATTTGTTAAGTCATAATTCATGTTTATGCGTTAAGTTGTTTAAATTTTGTTAATGTGGATATATTGTTGTTGTATTTGGGCAGTGAATGTTTGCCTTTTATGTTTGGAATCCACCCTGAGTCCCTCCAGGGAGATAGAGCGGAATATAAATAAATTGTATTGTCTAACACTTTCATGGCTGGAATCACTGGGTTGTTGTAGGTTTTTTGGGCTATATGGCTATGTTCTAGATGGGTTCTCTCCTGATGTTTCATCTGCATCTAGGGCAGGCATCCTCAGAGGTTGTGCCAAAGTCAACCACTGAGACCAAAGTCAACCACTGGAATAGTGCATCAGCTTCTTGCATTGGAGACTGGCTGACTGTACTCCTTTTTTTTCTCTTCCAGGTGATGATGATGGGGAGCCCTCAAATTGCAGCACTGCTTCTGGAGGCAGGGGCCAATCCCAACAGGCCAGACCCCTCTTCCGGCTCCTTCCCAGCCCATGACGCTGCCCGAGGGGGCTTCCTGGACACCCTAAAGGTGCTGCATCAAGGAGGTGCCCACTTGGACTTGCCTGATACCCAAGGCCACCTCCCCAGAGACTTAGCCCAAGAAGAGGGGCACAGCCACGTGGTCCAGTTCCTCTTGGGCCAAACTTGATCTCTACTTCTTCATGGAAGACTCTACAAGGAACCTTGCACACAGCCATATAACCCAGAATATCAAGGCAGATAATCCACAATATCTGCTTTGAACTGGGTTATCTGAGTCCGCACTGCCATATGATCCAGCTCTATGTGGATTTTATACAGCTATGTAGAAGGGGCCAAGAGAGAGCAATGGAGATCACCCCCTCTAGAAGTGAGGCAATGGATGAAGCTATTGCACTATATAGAACCTTTGGCTGGCCCATGACTGCACTGTACTTGCTTGACTCTCTCCTCTGCTGGAAGAAGCCTTTATCCAGCAGTTCCCAATCTTTGGTTTGGGGCCATGATTCTGAAACTCTGGTCTTCCAAGTCTTTTGGACCTCACCTCCCAGAGGCCCTGAGTATTGGTCAAAGCATCTTAGATTTAGAATCATGCAATCAAATCTGAGATTTGAGTCCAAAATGCCTAGAAAACCAGAGTTGTCATAAACTACTGTTTGGGGATACTACTCCCAGAAGCCCCAGGGTGCATCTACACCAGGGCTGGGTAAACTTTGTCCCTCCAGGTGTTTTGAACTTCAACTCTCACAATTCCTAACAGCTGGTAGGTTGAATTCCAAAACACCAGGAGGGCTGCAGTTTGCCTATACCTGATCTACACTACAGAATGGATGAAGTTTGGGCCCACTGCAATGGCCGAATGCTATGGAATCCTGGGATTTACAGTTTGCTGATACATCAGCAGTCTTTTGCAGAAACGACTGAAGACCTTGTGAAAGTACAACTCCTATGATTTCATAACATTCAGCCATGGTAGCCTGGAGTGGTGCCAAATTGCATTAATTCTAATGTGTAGATGCAACCCCAGTCAGTTTGGCCAACAGTCAGGAATTCTTAGGTACTACCTGCCTCTGCTACTCTGGCTAACTTTAGGTTGAGCAGGTTGTATATTGGTCACTACCACTCCCGACTTCAGACTTCTGTTACTTGAAGCAACTGTCTACCTAACTCTAGGAAAATATTATTGGTATGGTAAATCAACTTTTAATTTATTTTATTTATGTTCATCTCAGTGATTAAAGAGATATTATCGTGGCTACAGCAGGTATAATGATATCTCTTTACTGAGATACTAAGAGCAGGTGTGTTTTTCATAATAAGAGATATACCACACAATTGCTACAGCTAACAGATGAGAAATGCAAAATAGTAGATTTTGTTTACTGCCTTAATTCAAATTGTAAGAGTATTTGACTTGGTGAAAAAATGTACTTTAACTTCACAGACAAGGAAATAATAGTTTCTATAAATATAGCTCAAATTGTCAGATTTATATCCAACCATGCATTTGAAATAGTTTGCTTGGCCTGTGCCATAGAATTTTGCTGCCTTGATCACAGTCTGTGCCTGTTGCTGTTGTGTGTCTTCTCAAGACCTCTTCCACACAGCTGAATAAAATCCCACAATTTCTGCTTTGAACTGGAATACATGGCAGTGTGGATTCAGGGCCCTTCCACACAGCCTTATATCCTAGAATATCATGGCAGAAACCCCACAATATCTGCTTTGAACTGAGTTATCTGAGTCCACACTCAGATAATGTGGGGTTTTCTGCCTTGATATTCTGGGATATAGGACTGTGTAGAAGGGCCCCAGATCCTAATGGCCCTTCTACACAACCATATAACCCAGAATCTCAAGGCAGAAAATCCCACAATATCTGCTTTGAACTGGGATCTCTGAGTCTACACTGCCATATATTCCAGTTCAAAGCAGAAAATGTGGGATTTTCATGATTGAGCAGGAATTCAAACCACAATCTCCAGAGTTTTAGTACAATGTTTAAACCACTATTCCATTTGTGTTTTGTGTTTGTTTTTTAATATTAGCTCTGAAGATCTCCGTTGGTCTTTAATTTAAGAGATGAAATATACCAACAGGGATTTCCCCTGTAGTACTTTATGATCCAAAAATAAGAGTTCTAATCCTCCATAATAATAATAATAATAATAATAATAATAATAATAATAATAATAATACTTTATTTGTACCCTGCTACCATCTCCCCATGGGACTCGGTGCGGCTTACATGAGGCCAAGCCCAAAATACATCAAGCAACATCAATAACACAACATTAATATTCTGTTGCATTCAAGTACATAGCGTATGCTAAGATTTATAAATTGGATTTTAATTATGAGCAGAAGAACAGAAAAGTGGTTTCTTTTACAGTGACAGCGGTATACCAAACGACTGTTTAACCATCTATACAACGTTGTCATTCAGAAAATTCACAGGGAAACCTAACCAGGCCCGAAGCAAATAAACACCCCCAGTTTTCTCATGTTCTCTGAAAAGCAAATAAATGCAGATCTCAAATAGGGAAGTTTTGAAAAATTAAGCTGCACGTTAAAATGTGTGTATCAGCACTGTGGAAGTAATGCAGTTTAACTGCCAGGGTTCAATGCTGTGGAATCCTGGGAGATATGGTTTTCCAAGGTCTCTTGCCTTCTCTGCCAAAGAGTGCTGATACCTCACCAAAATACAACTCACATGATTCTACAGTAGTGAGATATGGCTGTTAAAGTGGTGTCAAACTGCATTAATTCTACAATGTAGATATATGTCCAGGAGACCATTGGTTGTGAAAGATTAGACTTCCGTACTTTTATGGATTTCAATTTCCAGAAATTCCAGCTAGCATGGTAAAAGGTAGAATCTGCAATGTTGAGTATTGGGCTACAATCTGAGGATCATTCTCATTGACAGGTACTACTATAGCAGTTTGCAAGATTGAGTCATAAGATTCCGATGAGAAAAAAGTTGATCTGTGTGTCAGGACCCCACAAGTGTTTTGTTTCATACTGAACAGTGACAAATGTTAAGGTTTTAAGAGAAGTGGGGATGTATTTTAGACATTGTGTTTCAGAGGGGTGGGGAAAGCTCTTCAGCAGAGATGAAGTGACAGCATTTCCACCCCCACCCCCCAACCCCACCCCATCCCCGTCGCACCGAGCACAGCCTCCAAAAGATAATGAGAAAAAAGCCTCAAAATATACCTCTATTTGTTGTCTGTCTTGTCATTGTATAAACAGCATTGAATGTTTGCCGCATATGTGTTCTGTAGTCCGCCCTGAGTCCCCTTTGGCATGAGAAGGGTGGAAAATAAGTACTGTAAGTAAGTAAGTAAGTAAGTAAGTAAGTAAGTAAGTAAGTAAATATCTGGAGATCCAAATGATCAGAATCTCTGCAGTTGAATACTAGCATCCTCACACTGTGTTTCTACGCAACAGGGATGACAGTGCTTTTTCTGCTTTTCCTGCTTTTCCAGCCCTTTCCCACATCCTCGGTGGGTATGACAGATAATAACAACCTAGTTGGGACTGGTTTCACCACAAGACGGCCTGAGAGGTGGCAGTGGAGGTCTCTGCAGAGCAACAAGAAATTTGAGGATGGAGATGTGTCACACAGTCTGTCCTCCACATCTAAGGCAGCCTACTGCCTCCAGGTCTATTGGAGCATGCTATCCCATGACCATTCAGCTACCAGTGATGTGTAAGGAGGGGGCATCATCTACTTTTCTACAAATGGCAGCATTATCTTCTTTGAACTGGATTATATGAGTCTACACTGCCATATAATCCTCTCAGAACTTGGTTCATTCAAAACCTCTCTCCATATGGTTCACCATCAACAGCCATCCTCTGAATTCTAGTGGTTTTCTGCTTTGGAGTTGGGCCACATTTACAATTGATTCATTTTAACTGCTATGGACTATCCTATAGGAAACTGGGGGTTTTGTAGGGTGATTGGTCCAGTAGTCTGTTCTCAAGAGTCTTGGGGACTTTCCACACAGCCATATAACCCAGAATATGAAGGCAGATAATCCACAATATCTGCTTTGAAGTGGGCTACCTGAGTTCACACTGCCATATATCCTAGTTCAAAGCAAATAATGTTGGATTTGATGCAGCTGTGTGAAAGGGGCTTTAGGCCTCTTCTACACTGCCATATAATCCGGTTCAAAGTAGATAATCTGGATTTTATATGACAGTGTAGAGGGGTCTTAGACTCCTCCTTTTTCCCCCCATCCTTTTGATGAGCCATGACCACCACATCTTCATCAATCATGAGGGTAAAAGTTTGCTTCCTTTGAAGAGGGAAAGTGACTGGTCAGGACAGTCACACTTCAAGCTCTCCAGATCCTTTTTGGTTTCCAGTGGGATAGACTATAAATAGGATTTGATTTAGATATGACTATGGCAGAAAGTAAAGCATTTTAAAGTGACTTATTCTCATAACTGGTGATGATGTTAGAAAAGTAACTTGGTTACTTGTCACTATTTTAAAATGGAAACCTTAGGACAGAAAAAAATGGAGTAGAACTTCAAATACCCTTTGAAGAGTAGCTGGAATATTAAACATGCAATGGCTTTATCCTCACCCATTCCAATACTTTTCAAATGCAACATTATTGCGCAAAACGCTACTCTATACAGATGCTATGTTATTTGTAGCCCATTGTCTCAAAACTCTGTATCCAACAATGTCTTCAAACCAGGCTTCTGTATTAGTTGGCTAAATTCCCTCTGGATTGGAGCCCAGGCTTCCAAGGATATATCCAAATTGCTGAACACTGTCCTCAAAATATGTTCAGCATCTCTGGAGAATTTAAGGGGCCTTCCACACAGTCATATAACCCACAATATCAAGGCAGATAATCCACAATATCTGCTTTGAACTGGATTAACTGAGTCCTCACTGCCATATAATCTAGTTCATTGTGGATTTTATACAGCTGTGTGGAAAGGGCCTAAGGGATGGACTAAAGCCTGTGATGGATTCACTACTTCATTGAAATGAAAGCTACAAGCCTGCACTGTTCCAACTACACACAAACCCTTCTCTCTTGTTAATTCTAAGAGAGGCTGCATCTCCACCGCCATATAATCCAGTTTTTGAATCCAGATTTACTGATTTGAACTGGATTATATGAGTCTATACTGCCAGTTCACAGCAGTTAATCTGGATTCAGAAACTGGATTATATATCAGTAGAAATGAGGTCAGAGTTTCCTGCTCCAGCCTAGACAATGGGCTGACCTTGAATTCTAACAGTTATATTCTTGAGATACTTACATGGGAATAAACTAACATTTAAGTTTTGTTTATGGGGCTGTGCAGCAATTTCAGGCCCAATGTCTGAACATGTAGGGATGTCTTATCTGACCAAATAAGCTCTTTGTATCTTCTGATTTTTCAGAATTGTCCAGGTGGGTGGATAGGGTTCTCCAAGCTGTAAGGGAAAATAATATGATTTTGTCATAAGAAGTGGATAAGATACAGTAAGACTTTTGTGAGTCAGCAAAAAACTGGCAAAATAACATTTGAGTATTTCTTGCCAAAGAAAACTATGAAATTCATGATGTCATCGTAAGTTGGCAGGTGAATTGAAGACATATACACATCCACATACCATCCATGAATCAAAGAAACTCCCTGAGAAGCATGCATGTAGCCGGGGGGGGGGGGGGGGGGGGGGGGGGGGGGGGGGGGGGGGGGGGGCTTGGGGGGCTTCCCCCCCCCCCCGAAATTCTCATGGTGGTTCGCGAAAAGGCCTTACTGGTGCATTATTTAAACTGTTATGTTTATTCATATCATGATCTGATCACCATACTCAATATATCCCATATGCATGGGGGTATTGGGGTAATGATACAAAAGGTTTGCTAGGGTAGACCCTCTTTCACTCAGACTCAGCCCCCCCCAAAACTCAGCCCCCCCCCCATCGAAATCCTGGCTACGGGCCTGCTGAGAAGATAGTGTTTTTCCAGTATGTATCAGCAAGCTTAGTCAAAGTTAACATTCTGAACATTTAAAATGAAATGACCAAACAGTTAACCCTTGCATAGGTTAATTAATACTTTTATAAAATGTCTATATTTATTTATTTACCAGCTTGGGTACCCGATGTTGCCCAGGTTTTTTGAAGAAGACAAATTTTTAATTGTACAAAATGCATTAGGTTGTAGGTGAACTACAACTCATATCATGCCAGGATAACCCTGAAAATCTCCATCAGTACTTAAAGTTTGTTATGTTGGACAAGTTTATTCTAGTTGTCTCATTGGTGGGGTTCAGTGTGCTCTCTGGCTGTAGGGTAAACTACAACTCTTACTATGGTGAGTCAGCCCCCTCAAACCCCTCCAGTATGTTCAGTTGGTCATGGGGGTTCTTTGTGCCAAGTTTGGTCCAGGTCCATTATCGGTGGAGGTCACAGTTTCTCTGGTTATGAGTGAACTACAGCTCCCATAAAGGAATGTCAGTCTCCCAAAATCCCTTCAAGAATCAAATATCAGCATATCAGGTATGTGTGCCAAGTTTAGTCCAGATTCATTGGTGTTTGGGTTCACAGTGCTCTCTGGATGTAGGTGAACTACAACTCCCCCAAATCAATGTGAATTTTCCCCGAAGTCCTCCAGTATTTTTTGCTGGCCATGGGAGCTCTGTGTGCCAATTCCATCTTTGGTGGAGTTCAGAG